TGTTCTATATACGATATTATTGAAAAAATTATGGAGGAAGTTTTTGCTAAGCTTAATAAACAGAATAAATCTGTTGTAATATGTGGAGACTTTAATATCAATCTCCTAGAAGCTACCTCAATCAATATTAAATTTAGATCATTGTTTAAATCATATGGTCTTTCTAATTTATTTTTAGAGCCAACGCGTATTGCTCAATCTAGTGCAACATGTATAGATAACATTTTTACAAATGTGAAGCCGTTGCATAAATGTATAATTCAAAAATTAAGTTCTGATCACTGTAGACAAGTAGTTTCGTTACCTTATGTTCACAAAAAGCAAGTAGATGAAAAAGTTGTGTTTGTTCCACTAAATGCACGTCGCTTGGAGAAATTTTGAAGAAATATAGTGGAAAAACTTTTTTTATTATATTTGGGTGACAAACGAGCACACAGTCCACCTGATGGTAAGTGGTTGCTGTGGCCCATAGACATCTACATTTATCCTCGATTACGAATCAAAATGCAGATACGTTGCCACCCGTGAGGACTAAGATAGAATGACTCGTTTCCAGTAAAAAGTAAGTAAAAATCATTATTTAATCTTATTTGCAATGAATTTAATAATACTTTTACTTCTAAAACATTCTCCTTGAACAGTAGGAAGTCATTCAATGAATGGGCGACAGTAGGAGTCCATAAAAGCAGACATAGGTTATATGATCTTTACCATGAAATATCATGTAATCATAGCGTCGAATTATGTAAAAAAATATTCAAAAATATTTAAAACAGTGTGCTCCACAGCCAAGTCTTTGCATTTGAGCAACAAAATAAGACGGCTTCTGATAAAATTAAAATGACATGGAGTATAATTAATAGCGAAACTGGTAAGATCAACTCTCGCAATTCAAACTACCAGTTAAGTGTTAACAACAAATTAACTGAATCAGATCAGGACGTTTCAATGGTTTTTGAGAAATATTTTACTGATCTTCCAATATTAACCACTAAGTCACTGAATTCTTCTCCTGCCGTCGCCGAATCATTACTAAACTATACAAAAGGTAAATGCATGCACAAAGAATTTTACATTTCATAAAGTATCATCAAAAGATATTGTAAAATATTTTAAAACTATTGATATTAAGAAAACTACGGATCTGTGGGGGATTTCCGTTAAAGTTATTGTGTCTATAATAGATACAATCGCGCCTTATTTAGCTATTATTTTTAATACTAGTATCGAATATGGTGTGTTTCCTGATTTAATGAAGCATAGTAAAGTAATACCTTTATTTAAATCTGGTAGTACATTAGACCCCGCCAATTTTAGACCTATTTCTGTACTACCAACACTTAGTAAGATTTTTGAAAAAAATATTTTTGATCAAATGTTAAATTTCTTTAATATAAATAATTTACTTCATAAAAATCAATTTCGTTTCACAAGGGGTCGCTCGACAACTGATGCCGGTGTCGAGCTGATTAAATATATCTTTAATGCATGGGAGAATTCACAGGGTGTTTTGGGTATATTTTGTGACCTACCCAAGGCCTTCGAATGTGTTCACCACGAAACATTAATCAAGAAACTTCAACACTACTGTGTAAGAAGTGATGCTCTTAAATTAATTATTTCATATTTAAGAGAACGCAAAAACTTGTCATTAACAGTACTTATGAGTTCGTCCGGGTCGATGTTATAAATGGGCGTACCTCAAGGCTCAATTCTCGGCCCCTTTATGTTTCTTGTATACATTAATGACTTACCTCACATAGTAAAGGATAACCATCATATAGTATTATTTGCAGATGACACTTCTTTAATATTCAAATTAAGTCGACAATTACTAAAATATGACGAAGTAAATAATGCTATATTTAAATTTGTAAATTGGTTCAATGTTAATAATTTGCATTTAAATGGCACGAAAACGAAATGTATGAAATTCATCACTCCAAATGTCAAACAATTAAATACTAATGTAATTTTAAATGGAGAGAAACTGAGTCTTATAGATACCACCATTTTTCTTGGAATCACACTAGACGCGAAGCTTCAATGGAGCCCCCATATAACAAAACTAGCAAGCAGACTTAGTTCTGCAGCATATGCTGTAAAAAAGATTAGAAGTCTTACCAGTGTTGAAACAGCTAGACTAGTTTACTTCAGCTGTTTCCATAGCATGATGTCGTATGGTATTTGCTATGGCGACACGCAGCTGACACTGAAATTATATTTGTCTTACAGAAGAGGGCCATAAGAGCAATTTATGATTTAAATCCTAAAGAGTCGCTGCGACAAAAATTTTAGGAAATTAACCGATTCGTTGCGGCACCGATTTTCGACAACTTATAGCTGTGGCGGCAAACAAATATTCGCCACAGAAGTTGATGACACGCCTTTTGTGCCATCAGCATGTGTAAAAGTAATTTTCTTTTTTAAGCATTTTTCACTTGTTTAGACCTAATTAAGTTTAGTTGACATCAAACATCAGTTAGAAATGGAAGGATACTTGTTTTTAGTGGGTAACTACGTGTTTTTCTACGTGTTTTCTTTGAAATTGAGAGTAAGTGACTTTTTTATGCAGAGATTACGAACCTTTTGTACTAATTTGTGTTTTATAAAAAAAAAACATTTATATAAGTAGGTACAGCTAAATCACCCTGGAAAACCTTGCTTTTTATTATATTAAACTTTCACCTAATAATAACATTTGTAAATATCAAACAATCAAGAACCTGAATTTGGAATAAAATAAGGTTTATGATTCATTGATTTACAAATGTTAAATGTTATTTATTGTTATACAAATGTAAAAGTAAAGTCGATCTGAAAACGTCTAATTAGTAAAAATAGCAAAACAAGTGTTTTCAAAAGGAAAAAAACGCCGGTGCTATACGGCGGTGGATTGACAAAAGACTATTTATTAGCGAACTTTTTTGTATAAACGGTTTCGAACAATTCAAACAAAAATAAACCTTATACCATATCACAAGAGCACATGGTACTTCGTAGGTCTATTCGGCCATATGATAGTAATAAGACGGCAGCTCAACCATTTTAGCAAAATTAAACAATAAGACAAACGCAATGTTTTTTTTAACAGGAGGCTTGTTTTGCAGTAATTTATTTACAACTTGAGTTTGTGAGCGATCGCAATGAGTACTATTATTTGTTACTTATTAGACTTTTTTTCCACAACATGATTTAAAACCCACAAAGTAAAAAGAGTACCATGTACAAGTTAAAAAAAGGTTGGCAACCCCTAAAAATTTCAAATTTTCAAAATATCCAGAAACTAAGCCGTAGGCATGAACTACTTGCAAAATAATGAATATTTTGTTCTGGATAAATTTTCCAAAAACGCAATTTGAGCTAGTAATAACGATTTTTAAAAAAGACACGACTCGCGTGTCATACGCCACACAAAAGTAATCGATGGCACGCCCGGCGTGTCATCCGCACTGAACCGGTTAATATATTAACTTTGGCCTCTCAATACATTTATGAAAATGTAATGTACGTACACAAATATGAAAGAAGTTTTACATAACGGAGTGATATTCATTCTGTAAATACTAGGAACAGACACAAGCTAGTAGTACCAGTTACTCGACTCCAGCGAGTCAGTAATTCCTTCTTGGGGCGATGTATACGCTTTTACAATAAAATCCCATAAAATATACAAAATTTCACCTGCTCAAAGTTCAAAAACTTTATTAAACTAAGTTTGTATCAAAAGGGTTATTATAATATTAAGGAACTTATGGATGATAATAACCCCTGGAAATGAGATGATCGCTACGAAGCTATTTCTAATTTGTTTTGTGTTGTTCATTGTGTAACATACATGATTTTAAGCTGTTATTTAAAAAAAAGTCCCGCTGGGTTTCTTGCTGGTTCCTCCCAGGACAGAGGTTTCTCTTTCTAACCAGTGATAATTAAACAAAAGACATAATCTACACATTTTACGTGGTAGAGCCATGCTGCAGCTATATTAGTAGTATAGTTGTACCACGCGTAAAATAGCAGCTTAACACTGCTGTTTCGTATGGTGAGTGTAGAGAACCAGAGACCCTTTTTACAGGAAAAGAGGCATTCCATCTTAGTCCTCACGGGTGACAACGCATCTGCATTTAGATTCGCAAACGAGGATAAATGTAGATGTCTATGGGCCACAGCAACCACTTACCATCAGGTGGACTGTGTGCTCGTTTGTCACCATATCCTATAAAAAAGTGACTTTCAATAAGTATTATTTATAATCTCTAATATCAATAAAAATATATCAATAAAAAACTTTGTTTCTGTTTCTAACGCGGTTATTTTTTTACAAATAATGAAATTTAATACGAAAGGGGTGAAATAAAATTCAATATTTGTGTTTTGTAATTATTTATTTGTCAAAAATTAATTCACAATTTAATTAATTCTTAATTACGATAATGTCTTCTACAAAAGTAAACTAAACCTGTAATGCTACACGGCAAACTGAAATAACAATTTGGATGCACAGAAATGAAACATCGAATAAAAAAAATATGTCACTATTTCCGTATCTTATATATTATAAAAATCAATTGCTGTCCGTTAGTCTCGCTAAAAAACTGGCTCGACCGATTCTGATATCTTTTTTTTTGTTTTGTGTTTCCTTGGATGGTTTAGATTTACAATTGGAAGCCGTGTCGGATCATTACTGTTCTTCTATATATTCATTTTCATAACAGCCTATAAAAAGTCCTGTGTTGAACATAGGCCTCCCCTATTGATTGCCTCATAGGGGGAACTTTGCCAAAGTTGCCACGCTTAGCACGCGTGTTTGCAGTTATATCCGTAAAATAGTAACAACCAACATATTTTAATTTTAGCTTACATCAAGTTCTTGTTATGCACTTAAGTCATCTTATAAGTATAAAAGAATTTTATTTTTTACTATTACAATCCTTTAATATAAAAGGATGTTCTTAACTCTTCATAATTAAATTAAAATAGCACATAAAATTACAACACGTTTAATCATCGCTGCCATCGTATGGTGGAGAATAGGAAGGTGAAGTAGGAGAATATGATGTTGGACCAGCAGATGATGGTGAGTACACGCGTGTTGGTGAATAATTGGGAGATGTTGGAGTGTAAGTTGTAGATGTAGGTGAATACTTATTTGAAGTAGACGAATATCCTGGAGAGGAAGGCGAGTAATTGGGTGAAGAAGGTGAGTAATTCGGCGATGAAGGTGAATATGGAGTACTTGCTGGATGCTGTGGAGAGGAAGGAGAGTACGCCGGACTTGTAGGCGAGTAGTGCTGACTCGTAGGTGAATATTGAGGACTCGTCGGTGAATATGTAGGGCTCCCACCTGCAACGGACGGCGAAGTGGGCGAGTAATTTTGAGATGTCGGCGAATAATTTGGCGACGATGGTGAATATCTTGGAGACGATGGTGAATAAGCTGGAGAAGTCGGTGAGTAGGAAGGACTTGAGGGAGAGTAAGCAGGTGACGTTGGTGTATAATTAGGTGATGATGGAGAATAACTTGGCGAAGTCGGACTATATACTGGACTTGTTGGTGAATAACTAGGAGAAGATGGTGAATATCCTGGAGATGTTGGTGAGTACGCTGGACTTGTCGGTGAATAAGACGGGCTTGTTGGTGAGTATGACGGACTCGTTGGCGAATAACTCGGTGAAGTTGGCGAGTAACTTGGGGAGGTGGGTGAATACGCTGGACTAGTCGGAGAATAACTAGGCGAAGTAGGAGAATAGCTCGGTGACGTTGGTGAATACGATGGAGAAGTTGGAGAGTACCCCGGTGATGTAGGCGAGTAACTTGGAGAAGTAGGTGAATATATGGGGGATGTGGGAGAATAATTCGGGGACGTTGGAGAATACGAAGTGCTGGTTGGTGAATAATGTGGTGAATTTGGATTTGACTGGATAGGAGAGGCTCCGATATACACAGGGCTCGTTGGCGAATAAGATGGTGACGCTCCGGCAGGCGAAGCATAAGGCGATAGTGGGGGCCCTGGTGAACCAGGCGAACCCGGCTGTGATGACCAAGCACTGTAAGCTGGCGAAAGTCCAGACGCATCTGATGCACCAGACGGCGAGAACGATGGTCCACCTGGTGTCATACTACTTCCAACTACAACAAAATAAATTATATCCATTTAACATTATTTTAAAATAAAGTACCTTTGCATCATTATTTTAAAATCTTCATTGATATTATTACCTTGTCCTGGTGACCATACACTGCTGCCATATCCTGGTGTATTCTGGGTAGACCATGGTGTCATTAAGGGTGTCATAGACGGCGTGCCAACGCCAAAGAACATTCCACCGCCTACACCCATACCAACGCCAAGTCCTCCCATCTCCATTCCATGTTTACATTTTTCTGCGTCAAGGAGCAAGTCGAAGCACCCTAAAATAATTTTGAAATGTCGTACATCCAATATGTTTTATTTAAGTAATGTCGTTCATAAATGAAATATAAGTGTCGCTCTTACCAGTTCCCATTCTTGGCAATTGTCCCATAATTATATTTTCAGATACTCCTCTCATTGGATCTACTTCAGCATGACTGGCAGCATCTAATAATACATCCACAGTTTCTTCAAAAGAGCATCTCATAAGCGCTCCAGTATCTTGTCTGTTGATGCCGTGACGAGTGATGGCCATAAGATGACCTTTTGCTGTCATTACATCACAAAGCAAGGCAAGATGACGATAGTTTACGTACAGGCCGTAAAATTGTAATACAGCATTCATTTCTTTTTCTACAGATTTACGTACAGCTTCGATACCAAGAACTTGAAATATTTCACAAATATCGTTACTGAACGTACGTATCGGATCGACGTCACGTTCAGAAAGAACTTTCATCAAAGATGTACCATCTGTTTCCAATAACCATTCAGCTATTGCTTTGAATTCTCCCTGTTCTGTGATAATAATTCGTTTTTTGGCTTCAGTCTGAGGTAAATGCATGTATACTTTGGCTATGGCTTCTATGCCCTGTAACGTCATGTCAGACAACATGTTAGCTTCAATACAACGTAGGAACATGTCATCTTCCATTTTATCAACCGTTTCTTCATCGTTATCTTGAAATTTACTTTCTTCATTATTCATAATTCTTATACGAAGAACAAGTTTTTCGGCGTTGTCGTCATTGAATATACAATTTAAATCATCTCCGAATCCTGCGTTGATCTTTTCTGCAATTTGTTCCATAGTTAGTTTCTTATCAGTCATCCTCTTACGGTCCAGTTCAATACGTAGAAGCCAAGGAGATATCTTTGTAGGGTCAAAATCAGGCATTTCATAATAAACATTTACAAATTCTTGATCTTCAGCAATAACAGTATTTTGTGGATCAGGATCATAATAAATGGCTGTATTTGCAGTAACTTTTCGGAGAGTTGTATGTTCCAAACGGCAGAGAACATTCTTAGCTTTTTCAGCATCTCTGGCTGCACCACCTGTCAAGAAAACTGTTAGGGATGGCGCTTTTGGCTTCTTAGATATATTAATAATTTCTTTCAGCCGAGGTACACCGAGTGTTACGTTTTTCGATGACACACCAGCAAAGTGGAAAGTGTTCAATGTCATCTGAGTGGCAGGTTCACCAAGAGACTGAGCAGCAAGGGCTCCAACCATTTCTCCAGGATTAACTTGCGCTTGTTGGAAACGGGTTTCAATTTCTCCAATCAACCACTCAAATGCCTCGCTTGACAAACGGTATTCTTCAGAAACAAATTTTGTACATAATGTTGATCTTACTAAGCACTGAAATAGCAGTGTCGCATTTTCATTGGCTTGTTTAGATAGCCGATCTTCTCCAGCTACAATAACACATTTCTTTAGTAAGTCTTTCACACCTTGTATAACTTTAATAGGACTAAGGTCTGTCGGCATTCTTTTATTAATATGGAAAATTTTCTGCACATTCCAGATCATTCTCTTAAAATTGCAAGGAAGTACAACCTTTGATTCGCCACTTGGAAAAATCTGTCGCAATATTTCTCTGTCTTTTGCTAATTGCTCCCATTCACTTTCTAAATCCGCAATGACATATCCTGATTCGGTTAACTCCTTTATAATATCCTCATTGAAGATTCTCTTTAAGTATCGCTCATTTGAAGGATCAAACTTGAATTTCTTTTCAAATGCTTTATTAGACAGTTTCACTGTAGGGAGATTTTGAAATTCGACCGTTTCTCCAGCTAGACCATCTTCACCATACCTCAACTGAATAAGTTGTCCAACAGAGTTCCTAACAGTTCCATCATAATGTACCATTACAGACTCCATAGCCTTTATCAGACGACGTTGAATATAACCTGTCTCAGCAGTTTTGACAGCAGTATCAATGAGACCTTCACGACCACCCATAGCGTGAAAATAAAACTCTGACGGCGTTAAACCGGCAAGGTACGAATTTTCTACAAAACCTCTTGATTCAGGACCATAATCATCCTTAATGAAATGTGGTAATGTCCTTTTTCGAAAGCCAAACGGAATACGTTTACCTTCTACGTTTTGTTGTCCCACACAAGCAATAACTTGAGAAATATTAATATTTGATCCTTTCGAACCCGCAACTACCATAGCTTTGAGGTTGTTATATTCTGTAAGAGACTTTTTAGCTGAACCACCAGTTTTGTCACGAGCATCGTTCAAAATACGGTTTACTTGATTTTCGAATGTTTGTCTGAGAGTGTTACCTGGAGTTGGTTCCAACTCCATGTTGTGAGCTTTTTGAATGACCTCTATTACATCATCCTTAGCTTTAACTATAGCACGCTGAATTTCCTGATATGTTTGAGGATCAGCAATAGTGTCACCAATACCTATTGAATGACCTTCTAATAGTAGCCAATTGTTAATAACAGTCTGAATGTTACCATAAAATCGGCCGGCAGTTTCGTGGCCTAACTCCAACATACAAATGTGAAGTAAAGAACCTGCTGAAGCACCCAAAGATTTCTTACAAAGGATACCCATAATCAATTCTCCATGCTCCACTACAACTTTTGTATCTCCAGGTGAAATCCATTTGTAAGGACCATCATCTTCTTCATCAGGATGAGTGGAATGTGTTCTGATCATGTTTACATTTCCAGGAATAATTAAAGTGAATATTTGTTTACCAGTCCAGAGTGGCTGTGGTTTTAAAATACAGGGTTGGGGTATTTTACCATCCCATGTTGGTAAAAACATAAGAAGATTCATGACTTGTTCTTTTGTTAAAAAGACATCTCTCTTTGTCATTTTTCTCACAGCTGTTAATGTGTCTTGTACAATACCCATAACAGGTTTATTAGCCTGTGGGGTAATGATCTGCCGAGGGGTTATATGAATATTTTCAACTTCTGCACGTGTTTCCATAGATTGAGGAACATGTAGATTCATTTCATCTCCATCAAAATCAGCATTGTATGGGGATGTACAACTCAAATTCATACGGAATGTTGACCATGGTAATACTTTCACTCTGTGACCCATCATACTCATTTTATGCAGTGTAGGTTGTCGATTGAATATAACCAAATCATCATCTCTTAAATGTCGCTCTACTTTGTACCCATATTGTAAATGCAGATCTGATGGCTTGGGATGGAATCTAAGATCAATTCTTTCTCCATTATCACGAACAATATATTTGGCACCTGGATACTGAGCATTTCCTCTTCTAACAAGCTCTTGCATTCTGTCAATATTGAAAGGTGTAACCAATTCAGGGAATGTTAGATTTTGTGCAATGGACCTAGGCACACCTACTTGATCAATACGTAAATTGGGATCAGGTGTGATGACAGTACGTGCAGAGAAATCCACACGTTTTCCCATGAGGTTTCCTCTTATCCTTCCTTCTTTCCCTTTTAAACGTGCCTTAATGGCTTTAAGTGGCTTTCCTGATTTTTGCATAGCTCTGAAATAAAAAAAAGCTAAAATTTATTTTTAATTAAATAAATGTACATTAACACTTTTTTTTAAAGGATACTTATGTAAATTTATTTTAAAAAAATATGTTGGTGTAAAAACTTAATAGTTTTCATTGGTCTAAGCCCATGCCACCACACTTTTTGGATGTCAACTCCTTCAGCTTACATACTTCTAGTTTGCCTAAGCAAAAAGTAACAATTTTTTTTTGACAAATTTTTTTAGCTTCTTGTGTATCTTATATATCTATCTATGTATTGGAATGTAATTTTAACTTATAGACGGCCGATTGACTTGAAAATTTGCATTTGTGTCAAGGACCAATAATTTAATAACAATAATTTAATAACTTTAACCTAGTATTCTGATCAGGATCACCAGGATAAACTATAACAATTTATCTTTAGTGTTTTCTTTTTTTTTTTTTTTATTATTATCTACACAACAAGTCTTTTAGAATCATAACCAGTGAAGACCATGACATACAATATTGTAAGAAACTGTTCCACTTCTGATGTTAGAAATTATCCTCAAAAGTATTTAAATAAAAGAACACTACTTGGTAACATACTCTGCTTACTATCAGGACTCCAATTAATAACACCAAACTATGCAAACCAACAGCATCACTACCCATCTCAAAGTAAGACAGAGCAGTCTCTCAGCAACACGACCTTCCTTGCCTACACTAGTAGAATACTCCAAAGGACATAGTAACGACAGTGGGACTCTTAGAATTACAGACTGATGCCTCTTAGTCACCTGTGCGATACTTTATACTTCTAAAACAAGTGGGAGATTAACATTTTACCTTCATTTGTTCGTATTTCCTTTTATTTTTTTACCCTAATTCCCGACAATATATAAATATAACATCGTGTACAATAATAAATAGATTTTTGGAAATAAATAGGATGTGATTTAATTTTTTATTTTTAAAAAAACGTTACCCCCACACTAGGATTTTCTCATGTATCGTAGAGGCAGTTTACAAACATATATTGCACGAGGACAAATATCCAGACCCGGGACAATTATTTGCCATACAAATACTTGTTCCGTGCGAGATTCGTACCCGCGGCCCCAGCGCAGCAACTCATTGCTAAGCCACTGCGCCACGGAGCCTTCAAATTCAAAGTCATATAAACTAAATTAATCAACTTTTTCCCAATTTTCATTTATATATATATAACTTACAAAGTTGCAAGCAACACAACACACAAAAGTTGACCAAATGATAATATGAAATAGCTAACACAGCAATTATGGACGATATCAAACTATAACTACAGTAATATCTTTAAATAAAATTGACTCATCAAGATTGATAAGAAAAAGAATTTCAAACATTGCAGTTATAAACCAAATCTATCACCATGAGTATGAGCTCTAGGCAACTTATTATGTTGTTATTGTATTAAAAATTTACCTAAATGATGTAAATGCATTCTAAATTGTTTACTTAAGATCTAAATATTCTATATTATCTTATCAAAGTATAAGAAATATACAAAAAGCTTTTATACTTACTTTGGCATGCCTGGCATATCATTGTCCACAAAGGTGGCAACGTGAAATTGTAATAATCTTATATTCTCAGCAAGAACATGAGCTGCGGCACCTAACTGTTCGTTTCTCATTAATTCGTTGTTTGCCTTTATAATATCGGCAAGTTTGTGTGTCAAATCGTCTTGATTTTTTGCAGCACCAAACATAACAACAGCTGGCCTAACAGATAATGGTGGTACAGGCAACACAGTGACAATCATCCAATCAGGTCTGGCAAATTTGGGATCCATGCCCAAAATGAATGATTCCTCATCTATAAAAGAAATCACTCTGTAATTGCGGACTACACTTTGTTAAGATTTAAAAGAACATCAGTCACGGCCCATACATGCTGTGACCTGGCTAAAAATATCGCAAACATGACTGGTGTATGGATTAATCCGTTCCCCTAGGCACAATCTCAATCCTAAACTGAAAATATATTATTTAAAAGCCAAGGATCATAGAACATTACACTTATGTATTTCATCGCTTTTGAGATTATGATGTAAGTTTGCAGCCATGACTAAACCATTGATATGAAAAATATGCAGTAATATATACTTAACTATATAGCCAATGGCTACAATAACCACAAAAATGAATCAATAGCCTTTCTAATCTTTTCACTGTGGTATGTATATAAGACACCTTTGACATTTTATGTTTTTTTTATTACTACTGGCAAAAGTATCTCAGCCTCTACAGTCTAACTGGAAGTGGCTTATTTTATAAAATTATTTACAACATGTTGATGTGTCACATGCTAAGTTTTTAGGATTTTGAAGACATCATAAAAGACAAAAGACATCTAAAAATGATATTATTGATAATATACTACAAAAATAAACAAAAAAATCTACAATAGAAACTAATATTTAAAAAAAGTAAACGAATAATGGTAGTGTTACTTTAGTATTATGATGAAACGTGTACCACAGATAAAAATGGGACAGGTTTAGATCCGTACATAACCTATAAAAGTAGTAAGGATATCAGATTTTTATTACAAATCTAAATTATTTTACCGGCTCCAATAAAATAAGCTGGATACCGTATTTAACATACACCTAAGCCATTATTTTTTGATGTATCAATCATCGGTGGTAGTTCCATATTTTGGTTAGGTTGTATTTGACCGATGTTCTTTAAATGATAAAATAAAAATTATTAACTGTTTATGTATCCTGATTGTGAAAAATTTGACATAACTAAGACCTCAGAGGTGACAACTCATTTATAACCTTAAGTAGACTGTAGCCACTTACAGGTAAACTGTAAATTTGTTTGAAACTTCAGACTTAAAATAGAAAAATCTCAGAAGAAAAATAAATGATTACAACTAAAATGTATAACAAAAGTTAAATTCAGGTTATTTGTTGCACAATTCTCTTTATATATTTTTAACTCACACACTCACTTATGATTATTGTTTACAAAATTAACCACAAATTACAAATAAAGTTAAAAAAGGTGTAATTTCATCTTACGCTATACTTGTTATAGCAATTGAATCTCTATCTGACCAATTGCCAGAGAGCCAATTCTGAATAAATTGCTGTTGATATAACTAATAAGGTATGATTATGCCTAAAAGCAAAAGCAACCAGTTTATATAATAAACTAGCTGGCCAGGCAGACGTTGTTCTGCCATTTTCGACGACCGTTCATATAAAAAATCCTTAAATTTGTAATAAGAAAATATTGAGCGTCACTTATCAGGATAAAAACTATCCTATCTCTCAAGTTGGACCAAACTGCACAGAGTATGCAAAATTTCATTGAAATCAGTTCAGTAGTTTAAGAGTTCATCGTGGACAAACAATGTAAAACATATTTTTTATATATAAAGATAAATAAATTTTTTATTGAAACCAGTACAGGTGTCGATCCAACATTTAATGAAGATGGGGGCACAGCTTTAGAAATAGCAGTCGCAAATATTCAGTTCATATTTTTATGGTAAAAAAGGTAAATAGGTAGATATTTAAATTCCAAAACACCAAAGTGTGGAAATACAGTTTTAAGATAAAAGTTAAAAAGTTAAAGTTACAGACTATATAAGTCTCACAGCTGGGCACAGGCATCCTCTCATTTCTGAGAGGGTTTTAGACCAAGAAAATGTCCGCCGCACTGCCTCAATGCATATTGGTGAACTTCACATGTCTTTGAAATATTTTTTTTCTTATTTCTGAGACATGCAGATTTCCCCACAATGTTTTCCTTCACCACCGAGCACATAGTAAAACAGCACTTAAAATTGCAATAAACAATTTCATTGGTGCAGCGGGAATTGAAGCTGGGTTGCTCTCATACTGTGATATTTACAGCGAGCGCTTAGCCCCTAAGCTACCACAACTCTTACGACAAGTTGAAGATATATTTTTAAAAACACAAAAATGTTTTTTGCATATTAAAAAATTATACCTTTAGCAAAAAACCATAATAACTAAACACAATGACTAGTGTCAAATGACAAAATTTTCATTTCACAAATTGAAATAAGTCAAATCAGATCATTAATATTTAAAAGTATGACTTTTGTCAAATAATACATAAACAAAGTAGTGAAACTGAACACATTTGCCATGTGCAACACCACCCGCTATTTTGTTTACTTTCTCATTTACTGCCTGATCAAACAGTGATTATATTTTTTGCTGCTTGTACTCTACATTAATTTAGTGTCCTTTTATATCAAAGACTATGATTTCAATACTTTTATTGTTACTAGAAATAAAATATTTGTATGAAGTCTATTTAATGGTTTCATTTATTCTTTACTATCATATTTTTAGGTTCTAGTAATGATAATAAGTAATATCCTCAAGACCAAATTTCAGTCCCAGTAGCTTAGTCTCAACAGGGACAAGACATCTGCACAGGACAAGACTATAGTACTTGAGTGTACCAGCACACTCTATTCCCTCACTCTTACAGTCCTGTGGGATGGCAAACTGACACAACCAGAGAGAGATCAGGCGCAGGACCAATGGTTTTACATGTTTTTTCGAGGCACAGGGAAAACATTGACAACTTCCTGGCAACTACTAAGAATTTCTTGACAGAAACTCATTTTTTGGCCCAACCTGGAAATTGAACCCGAAACCTCATAGACAGCGTTTACAACCACTAGACCAACATAAAAAGAATGACAATGAAACATGATGAAAATGTTTGTAGTTGGTAAGTTGAAATAGGTCAAAAATAAAATTTTGCCATAATGCAGGACTTATTATTTCGCAATTCTAAAAATACCACTTCATAAAAGAAATATAAATTTGCTTTGCACTTAATAAGAAAATAAATTCACCTGTAATATGTTTAAGTATTTCCCATACTCTCTCTGCAGTTATAATTATTTTCTTTTCTTGTGTGTCTTCATTTGCATGTTTCCATTCTGCAGTAAGATCCAAACCTTGACGCCTAATAGACGGTTGATAATGACCACATCCTCCGTGTCCTGAGCCTCTTTTCCCTTCCTCTCCTTCCTTTCCAATATCCATATCTTCACCACCCTCACAAATATTTTTTCCCTTACAAAGGTCATAAACATATGTCAATCTTTTACGTGGTTGCCCTTTGGACTTCATGACAACTTCTTTTATCTTCGGATTTGTCTAAAAGAATTGATAAAATGTCAATAAAATTATTTTCTAAGTATAAAATAATTAAACTACATAATATAATATAAAAAGTAGTTACCGGGCTAACAAGCAATTTAGAACAGTAAAAACAAACACATCTTAATATCTTAATAGTTTTTGTAATAAAACCAATATGAAAAACTGGTTTAGCCAAATCAATATGACCAAAGTGTCCTGGGCATTCTGTCATATTCCCAGCACAGGTTTGACACCGAGAACTTCTGTCGATCACCCCTTGTCGTGGATCCATAAGCCCGCCAAGCTTGGGCCTTCCGCCTTCCATAGTTTCGGGAAAGCGGATGCCTCCCTCAGTAACGGACATACGTCGCTAAAAAGAATGTAAATACATATGATTAAATTGTATAGACTGTCCTTAAATTGTACTGCGTTGCATTTTACTATTGTGCAATAGCATCAAGCTGATAACAATTTGCATATCTTTAATTCACTCTTTGCATCCTGAGCTAACATTAAAAGTATCTCTTTTACATGTGTAATAATTAAAATAAAAGGAAAACAGAAATAATTGCATTACATTCACAAGACCATCTAGTCTCTATTAGAAAATTTTAACTATCAGCTCAAGAGTAATGAAAACTTTAACAATATTTTAAACAATAAGGTAAAAATTAAGCAATGTAGAATACTTACGATCTCATCTGGTGATAATATACCAAATTGCACTCTTTTTACTTGGCGCACAGGCGCCTTCGAGTCCGTCGTAGTAGCCATTTTATCATTTTGTGAATAAGTTGTTGTTGTTCTTACGATTTATCAATTAATGCAAGCAAAAGTTATAGACTATACAGCCTCTTTATAGTACATTTCATTTACAAAATTTTTTATAATATGCTGATACGCAACATTATAAAATTTTTGGGAGATTGAACATATTTTGGATGTATATTTTATAATTTTACATGATTAATTTATACTAAGATGGCTTAACTTGGAGGATAGTAAATAAAGATGGTAACTAAAATCGCCCAAGGGAAAAACTCAAGATTTATAACAATATCAAAGCTCTTGTAACATCGTTTCCACTAATAGTTCACATGAAGCATGAAGAGATATTATATAGAGGTCAGTGACAGACATTTAATGCAGAAAATTGCACAACTTATACGTATCAAAATCCACTTTAATCCATAAATCTCATAGTAAGTACAAGCTGCGCTAGCACCTTTTATATAGGATAAGGGTGTCAAACTGTCTGTTTTCGACGCCTCGGCAGCCTTGAAGGTACGGACCTGTCCATCCTATGGCTGCGCGTAGACAGCGACGACCATCCCCGCGTCTACGGGTGCCTCTATAGGTCCCATAGCGGTAATGCCGACACAGACCGACTCATCGACCACGTCCAAATGGCTGCAGACTCCGTGCTACAACAGGTCCCATCCGCAGAGATCGTGATACTCGGTGATTTCAACGCCCACCACGCTGAATGGCTTGGTTCTGGTTTAACCGATCATGCGGGTAGATCTGTCTACGCCTTTGCTTTGGCATATGGTCTAACACAACTGGTTACTTCGCCTACGCGGATCCCAGATGTGGAAGACCATGTACCTTCCCTGTTGGACCTTCTGCTGACCTCTCATCCGGACGGATATCAGATCTCCGTCGATGCCCCTCTGGGCTCTTCGGACCATTGTCTGATCCGGAGCACGGTGCCACTCACGCTCCAATCGCAGTTGCGATCTACAGCTTGCCGCCGTGTTTGGCACTATAGGTCAGCTGATTGGGACGGGATGCGGTCTTTTTTTGCATCCTACCCTTGGGGGCGGGTTTGCTTCTCGCCGGAAGATCCCAGCGTTGTTGCCGATTCTGTTGCTGATGTGGTACTTCAGGGTATGGAACTTTTTATTCCATCCTCTGTGGTGCCCATCGGAGGCAGATCCCAGCCATGGTTTGGTCGCTCCTGTAAAATAGCATCACGCTATAAGCAGGAGTGCTACCGGGCCTGGGCTGACGCATCAACGTCTCGGGATTTAAGCACCAGCGCACTTAAAAAGAAGTATAATTCCGCCTCCAGGTCCTTCAAAAGCGTCATTGCCAAGGCAAGGTCTGAGCACATCGGCAGAATTGGCGAGAAGCTAGTTCGCCTTCCTTCGGGAACCCGTGCATTCTGGTCTCTCGCTAAGGCTGTCCAAGGGAACTTCTGTCAGCCATCCCTCCCATCTCTGCACAGAGAGGACGACTCACTGGCCCATGCCGCAAAAGAGAAAGCCGATCTGTTGTGCTCTCTTTTTGCGTCTAACTCGACTCTAGATGACGGGGGGAACACACCGCCGACCATCCCGCGATGTGAGTGCTCCATGCCGGATGTGCGATTTACACAGCGCTCGGTTCGCAAAGCACTCTTCTCCCTGGACGTCAGCAAGTCGAGTGGGCCCGATGGAGTCCCTCCCATTGTGCTGAAGACGTGTGCTCCGGAGTTGGCACCGGTTTTAACGCGTCTTTTCCGGTACTCCTACTCCCAAGGCGTAGTCCCGAATTCATGGAAGACAGCTTTGGTCCACCCGATCCCTAAAAAAGGCGACCGCTCAGACCCGTCCAACTACAGGCCTATTATCGCCATCACCTCCTTGTTCTCCAAAATAATGGAATCCATTATAAACTGTCAGCTCATGAGGTACCTTGAGGATCACCAGCTGATCAGTGACCGTCAGTACGGTTTTCGTCGGGGTCGATCAGCAGGTTTTTTTTTTTTTTTTTTTTTTTTTTTTTAAATCATTTATTCTGGACCAAACCTTTAGTACATTTTTCACACCCACCAAACTGCGTAACAGTTTGTCGGCGGGATTAGCGCTTGCCTTTATACATTTGGTTCAAATACGTAAGTATACAATTTAATGAAAATAAAGCTAAATAATAAGGTCTAATATACGTAATTTTCAAAAGTTATATTAAAACAACAACAAATCAGTTAATATTTTCACATCTTGCGACAACTTCATTAAGGAAAACAGTTTTTAATTTATTTTTTAGTGTTTGTTTACTTATTCTAGTATTATCTTCTCTCAGCCAATCGATATTATTGAAAAGTATAGGGGTCATATACTTGTTGGTTCTTTTGCCATAGTAATTTTTTACTGGTGGTCGCGCGAGTTTACGCTCTCTAACGCTTCTAGTATTGTACCTATTTTGCACTTGTACTTTAAACTGGTCGTTATAGAACTGTTCTAGAACCAACAGGTACTTGACCTTTTCATGTACAGGAAGCACCTTACAGACAACAAATAGTTTTTCATAATTTTCTTTACAGGCAAGTTTTGTTTGTGGGCTAACAAGGTATTTCATAAAACGAATTTGCAGCGATTTTATACTGTTAAGATAGGTTTTAAATGTACGGCCATACGTATTCAATCCATATGTTAGCAATGACTCAGCGAGAGCAAAATAAAGGACACGCAGCGTTTTTCTACTCAATGGCGCCTTCAGGATAAAAAACTTACTCAACACTGCCCTAAGCTTTGTACACACTGTGTCAACCTGTGTTTTCCAATTCATGTTGCGGTCCACCCACAGACCCAGATACTTAAATTTGCTGACATATTCCAGCTTTTGACAAACACAATTTACGTTTTTGACGTGCATACACTCATACGTGTGACCCACGATACCTATATCCACGCTCTTGACATTTTTTGCCACTAAGTTGTGCGGTGAATACAGATGCATCACTTTCGTCTTATTAAGGTTGAGTATGATACCATTATCGTGAGCCCACCGGATAATATTATCGAAGTCAGCTTGTAGCACAGCCCTGATCTCTTGTATATTCTTAGAGGAGTACATAAGGCACATGTCGTCCGCGTACATATACACCCGACATTTCTTCACCACATTAATGACGCTATTGACATGCATAACAAAGCCAACCGGACCATAGACTGAACCAGTCGGAACACCAAGCTGCACCACCACTTCTTTACCAGCAACACCAGAGATGTAGGTCTGTAAGGTTCTGCCACTCAGATAACTCCGGAACCACCTGTTTGTGGGGCCCCTGATTCCACACTCATCCATGGCCTGCAACAGCACCTCATGATCCAAGGTATCGAAGGCTTTTTTATAGTCTATGAACAGCGCCAGGACCTGATGCCCCTGGTCGAGACTACTGTTCATATCTTCTGAAAACTGTGATAGTGCTGTTACGGTGCTACGACCATGCCTAAAACCATGTTGTGCATCCGCTAATATACTATTTTGCTCTAAAAATTCGCTAACCTGGCCGACTATCATCTTCTCAACTATTTTATTAATGACCGATAAGATAGCAATCGGTCTATAGTTAGCATACACTGAGTGCGCTCCCTGCTTGTAGATGGGCCTAATTAAAGCTTTTTTGAGTGGGTTAGGATATTCCCCTTTCGACAAACACAGGTTGACAAAGTGCGATAAGACCGGTGAGATCTCATTCTTGATTATTTTTATGTCTGTGACTCGAATGCAGTCATTGCCTGGCGCTTTATCACAGCTCAACTGATCGATGACTTTGCACAATGCCTCACTGGTAGCTGGCTTAAAGCGAAATGTTACATCACATTCTCTAACATATTTACTTCTGTCTAATAGTTTAATATTACAATTATGTTTAATAGCAATAATTTCGTTAGTAAATGTATCTGCAAATTGACTACATATATTGTACATCGTGTCTTTATTTCCAAAGTATCTTTTAACAATATCATCTATCTTTGCTTTTTTCCTACCTGTCCAGGTATTAATTTTGTCCCAGATTTTTTTTGGGTCTCCATTACACTTCTTGATTTCTTCCTGCCGATACCTATTTTTCGCTTTAAATATTAATTTATTAACCTTATTTCTAAATCGTGTGTATTCTAGTCTTTTTGTATTATTGTTTGGTGTTTCTTTCCAATCCCTAAATAACCTATCCCTACGCATTAACATTTTATTCAAATCTCTGTCTATCCACGGTTGTGTATCCCGTTTTTTAATCTTTGGCATTACAGTCTTACTATTTTTATAAATATCATTGAAAACATTTTCTAAATTACAATACAAATTTAACGGACAATCAATAAGCAACAGTTGAGACCAATCGTAATCAGTGATCTGCTTAGCTACTAGCTTATTATTAATTACATACCGAGTGTCCGAGTCCACACTGTCAGTGTAGTGTTGCGTCACATGTAACGGTACCGAGACTCCAACCACGTGATGATCCGACATAAAACACTCAATAACAAACGAATGGCAGTCTCGCAGCTGTCTTGTTCGCACCCAGACATGATCGATACACGACATTTCTCTTACACCCGCGACGATAACCTCTCGCGTCTCCTCCGTAATCGGTATTACGCACTGTAGGCCTAGTGCACACATGCAGTCCTTATATTTTGACACCAGTTGGCTTTCACTCACTCCTAATAAGTTAATGTTGACATCACCTAACATGATAATTTCCTCACTCGTTGGGATGTTCTTAATTATCTGCTCGATTTCATCAACGAATAAAAACCTATTCGTTTTTGGTGGTCTGTAGACTGCAATTATATTTAGAGTTGAGTTGTTAACAGTGAGTTTACCATGAAGTCCTTCAAGTGAACTCGTCAGGGTTTTTTGCGCATTAAAAATAAGACATTCCTTGACATAAATAAGCACACCCCCTCCTCTTGTAGCCTCCCTCGTGTTTGCAAATAGATTGTACCCCTCTATGTGGTATAGTGATAGCTCCATCTCCTTAATGTTAACCTCTGTCAAAACTA